GCAGATAAAGACTTTGCGGATATGATGAAACAAGCCGATAAAAGGTTAAATGTGTACAGTGTGATCTATGTTAAAAAGAGTATCAGTGTGTGAAGTTTTATTCTGTAGAGTGTGATATATTTAAAAAAAGAGAATCAGTGTGTGGAGATGTTCTGTTCTGCACAGAGTTATATGAATAAAATAGAGAAAAAGAGAAGCAGTGTGTGGAGAAGTTTTATACTGTACAGTGTGATATATGTATAAAAGAGAAGCAGGGTGTGGAGAAGTTCTATTATTTACAGTGCTGACTAAAATGACAAAAAAGACTTTTGTCATTGTGACTAAGACTAAGACTAAATTTTAAAAAGCTGACATAATTAACACTGCAGAATCTGATCTGCACTATGCGTATTTCCTGCTTGGTACCTTACCTGCTTGTTTTGTTTGTATGACTGCCATTGTGGTAAAGGACTTCTGAAGTTGGACCAGCTGCAAGAGCAAGCTGCGTGAGAACGCTGGGACAATTTTTTCACCTGGATCCCCGCTCTTTTTCGCCCTTATGTCCCTCCGTTGTCACACAAACTTCCCCCACTTCCTCACCACGTTGGCCGTATCTAGACCCACAGCTAGTTCGTGATTGTCTCTCTTTCGTTGTGGCGTGGAATAACATAGCGCAAACTGCTGCGACACACTGCTGTGGGGCGTATAACCAGCCCTTAAGTCTCAAAACCCTGGCTAAACATAAGAATGTGTATGAGTAATTGTCTGTGTCTAATTTAAACTTGTAATTTTTTATATATATCTATGTGTTTGAACACACATTTGCAAATACCAGAACATACCTACAGAGTATTTTTTAGATGGTACACGTGATGTTTTCAGAATCAGAATCAGAAATACTTTAATAATCTCAGAGGGAAATTACTTTTGTTACACGCTCCAGTTAGTTTTATATGATATATACACACATCCAACTATACAATATAATAAAGATAAAAAATAAGAATAAAAAGAGATTAAATATATACACATATAGCTCTTCTGTATATATGTCTGTACGTATATCTATGCATATGTAAAAACTAAATCCACATAAAGTGAAAATCCAAGTAAAGTGATAACACACAAAAATACCCAGACCTACACACAAACAGGTTTACACAGCTTTAAAAAAAAAAAAAGTATTACAAATGTATGAATACATTGAGTCAGTTCTGCTTTGTTCCACCATACAACTCAAATGTCTTAAAGTTTACCATAAATAAAGTACTTTTATTTAATATAAGATCTATGTGTTCACTTTGCGATAAAGAGGTTGGATACAAGAAAGTGTCTAATCTCCATGAGCAGCAGATAATTCTAAGAGCGGAACATCGAATTAGATATATTCAGAACTCTGTGCATTATGAAGAAAACCACAAAGCTAATGTCATTTGAGATTTTATCTTAATGAACACAAAAGGTCAAGAGGCTAACTATAAATATGGACAGCCACACTGGAACATGTAGCACAGACAATTTAATTTTTTTTCTGTTGGCCATCTCACAATTTGTGTTAAAGTATAACACGTAAGAAGATGAGGACAGGAGATGAAGGAAGAATGCTGCCAGGGGGATGTGGGAACAGAGAAAATCATAGGAAAGACCTGATTTAAGACTGGCTTTGTTATGTAATTAGCTCAAAGAGAAGAAGGGCCGACTGCTGCAGGGATCTGCAGCGGTTGGCCTGAGGTTGCTTAATTGCCTGTTCAAAATATTTCCAGGCTTCATCCTCTGGAGCTCATACTCATTATGACACAGATGTTTACAGCTGCTTAATGTGGAAAGGGCTACTTGGTAACTGCTGACTTTTTCTCCTGCTGTGATCTAGTTACACCTTTCTCTCCTGGTGCAGTAAATCTACAATGACTGTTTTGCTTAACACAGAATGGAGCAGAGGTGGGTAGAGTACTCAAAATTTTACTTAAAGGTATAGCGGAGGATGTTCTTTTTCCGGGTGGATCATCAAACTAAGTGGCCCTACTAATTCTCAATCATTCTGTTGATATGTTTAAGTAAGGCTGTCCTACCTGCTCATCCCTATTTTCAATTACCAGTGGTGAGTCTGACATAGTGGAAAGAATGCTTTGTAAAGTAAGCTAGTATAAGTGATGCAGGAGAAATTGGTTTGTACATGCTCCCGCGCCGTTTAATAGGCTTCCCTCTTGGGAGCGGGTACAGGGTTGTGCATGTGCATTTTTTTTTTGAAGAGGTGAGGTTGGGTCTTTTCAAAAATGTGCAAAAAATCCTCCACTATACCTTTAAGTAAAAGTAGCACTACTTCATCCTAATTTACCAAGTAAAAGTAAAAAGGAGGCTACACTGAGAAAAATAAATCTGAGTGAACGTAAATGTTATGTAATCAAAATGTGTGATATTAACAATAAAATGTTACGTTTGTATCTTTACATAATATATTTAGTTTTGAATTCATCTGCGTTTGTTCAAAACACAAGACATTGTGCATTTTTTTACCTTACAAAATTAATCTAAGTAATCCCAGCCAATCTTTTTACGTACATACCCACAACAAACTATGAGGTGCCCCCAGGGACATAAATCAGAATTAACTTGCATATACACATATTAAATTACACTCTTCCATATAATATACTGAAAACCTCACACAAACACTAGTAAAAAGCTCTCACATAAACTAGTGAAAACATTGACCTCTTATATAATCTACTCAAAAGCTCTCATACAAATTAGTGAGAACTGTTCATATAAACTGGTGAAAAGCTTTACCTTTCATACACACTACTAGAAAGCTTTCATATACACTATTAAAAAGCTCTCATATACACTACTAGAACGCTCTCATATACACTATTAGAAAGCTCTCATATACACTATTAGAATGCTCTCATATACACTATTAGAACGCTCTCATATACACTATTAGAACGCTCTCATAAACACTATTAGAACGCTCTCATATACACTATTAGAATGCTCTCATATACACTATTACAATGCTCTCATATACACTATTAGAACGCTCTCATATACACTATTAGAAAGCTCTCATATACACTATTAGAACGCTCTCATAAACACTATTAGAAAGCTCTCATAAACACTATTAGAACGCTCTCATAAACACTATTAGAACGCTCTCATAAACACTATTAGAACGCTCTCATATACACTATTAGAAAGCTCTCATAAACACTATTAGAAAGCTCTCATAAACACTATTAGAACGCTCTCATATACACTATTAGAAAGCTCTCATATACACTACTAGAACGCTCTCATAAACACTATTAGAATGCTCTCATACACGCTACTAGAAAGCTCTCATACACACTGCTGAAAAGCTATTAGCGGATTTCAGTTGAAACGGAAGGTGTTTCAGTTGAAACGGAAGGTGTTTCAGTTGAAACGGAAGGTGTTTCAGTGAAACAGGAAGGACCGTCATTACACCGGAAGTTGTTTTAAACGGAGGTCATTCTGGCTAGCTCCGTACATTTTGTGCTATCTCCGGCCGAAATTGTATCAAATAAAATTATTGATTCATGCTCAGCTATCCGCTAAACAACTCACAGAAGCATGGGCATTACTCGACTTTATTTTTTATGTTTTTGCTTCAACAGAGATCCTTTTCCGGTGTTGTGCGAAATTCTGTTCCCATGTGAAAATCTGTTCCACCTGTGTCGGGAGCGCGCCGCGCGTTGCAGCCACATAAGCGGATCTGATCATTTCCCAGGCCTTTCGGATCATTTCTTGGTTAAATAAAAAGTCGTAAAATTATACAAGGTGAGACATTTAGTTTAATCAGCCGCTGTTGTTTACAAAATTGTAAAATAAAAAAAATAAATGCGGTTTTCTTATGCTGTTTTGTGTTGTTATTTTAAACGCCAAGAGAATCAGTCTCTTTCCAAGTTTTTTCACTTCAGCCTGACAGAAATAAAAGTCAAGTCACCAAATACCAAATTTGTATTTATAATTTTTTATTACTGATATAAGATGATGGGAAGTGCCTGATAGCAGTTCCATAATATAGAAACAAATTAATTTAGCTGCAAATCTTAAACTGTGTTTATTCCTCTCTTCATCAACAACAAACCATCTGGATGCGGTGATATTTGAGCAATGTTTGCCTAAATTAAAGGAGGGGGACCATATATTTTAGCTTTCTAATAGTGTGTATGAGAGCGTTCTAATAGTGTATATGAGAGCTTTCTAATAGTGTATATGAGAGCGTTCTAATAGTGTATATGAGAGCTTTCTAATAGTGTATATGAGAGCGTTCTAATAGTGTATATGAGAGCTTTCTAGTAGTGTATATGAGAGCTTTCTAATAGTGTATATGAGAGCGTTCTAATAGTGTATATGAGAGCTTTCTAATAGTGTATATGAGAGCTTTCTAATAGTGTATATGAGAGTGTTCTAATAGTGTATATGAGAGCTTTCTAATAGTGTATATGAGAGCGTTCTAATAGTGTATATGAGAGCGTTCTAATAGTGTATATGAGAGCTTTCTAATAGTGTATATGAGAGCTTTCTAATAGTGTATATGAGAGCGTTCTAATAGTGTATATGAGAGCGTTCTAATAGTGTATATGAGAGCTTTCTAATAGTGTATATGAGAGCGTTCTAATAGTGTATATGAGAGCATTCTAGTAGTGTATATGAGAGCTTTCTAATAGTGTATATGAGAGCGTTCTAATAGTGTATATGAAAGCTTTCTAGTAGTGTGTATGAAAGGTAAAGCTTTTCACCAGTTTATATGAACAGTTCTCACTACTTTGTATGAGAGCTTTTGAGTAGATTATATAAGAGGTCAATGTTTTCACTAGTTTATGTGAGAGCTTTTTACTAGTGTTTGTGTGAGGTTTTCAGTATATTATATGGAAGAGTGTAATTTAATATGTGTATATGCAAGTTAATTCTGATTTATGTCCCTGGGGGCACCTCATAACAAACAATACCTTGTTTCATTTACTCAGTACAAAAAAAATCCCCTTCCCGGAATACCCTTCCTGTTTTGTTGGTCTGGAAACCCCTTACATTTCAAATGAAGAGGCACATGTGGACTGAACCTAAGGTAAGAATGAAGTTAGTTAAATATTTAATGTACTTCAGTTTGTACATTCTTCATAGTTTTTAAATTGCTGTAGAAAAATTAGGCTTTTAATGTAATTTGAAGATTGCGTTTGTTGTAACGGTATGTGGATTTTTTAGTGTTAGCGCTGGTATCGCTAACGTTATGTTGCTTACGTGTAGCCTAGCATTATTTGAAACTTTGCTAGTGGGGATAAAATAGTTTGTTATTTTGTAATTTAAAGTTAACGCTAGAATTCAGCAATAAAATAAGGCATGTAGCGTAAGCATGTGGATTTTTAGAGCAGGACTGTAACATTGTTTAGCTGTATTGTATCCTTTAAAATTAATACATATATTTCTTTGTTTTTAAGTGATTGATGGGAACAACAATATTTCAAATCGGTTCAGCTTAGACCTTTTCAGTCTTCAGAGGTGAAACTATTAACGTTAGGCCCAGTCTTACATGGTCTACGTTATGGGCAATTGAGTAATTTAAATGAAACTGTCACTGATATGCTCATATTATTATTCTAAGTATCTGACAACATTATGGAAAGGGCCGAGGTCGACCTTTTGTTATAGAGTAAGATTTTTATATTTATCCCCCTTAAGTAGAAAGATTGCTGACAGCCCCAGCTTATTGTTTACAATTATTAACTGCCTAGAACATTTTACTTAATTTAAAAACTGAGCTATCATATTAGAAAGATTTAAGACTCCAGCTTTTGTATGTGGTCACTATTTATGTCAAAATTGACAGAGAAAGTCAGCTGCAGATAAAACTGCAGCAAAAAACTTAAAAAAAGCAAAGAAATCTGAGGTAAACTATCTCCCACCTCATCCTCAAGGTGAAACGGATGAATCCCTTGAAAAGGAGAGGGAACTTCTCTATGAGTACAAGAAGAGAGACAACAACAGAGTAATTCATGAGAAGATGGCAAACACCTTCTCACTGCGTCGTAAAGATGTGATCCAGAAACCACCTGTGGTTGACTTATATGCTCCATGGCCTGCCCTGTTTGAGTTTTCCCAGGTATTTAGAACATTTGAATACTTGTCTAATTACCTTTGTAATACCAAGTACTTTGTCTGGCAAGGTTGTAGTAGTGTGGAATTTGTTGAAACTAAGCTCCTAACTTCACTAAACTCAAACCATGCACTTAAATTAACTCTTATAGGGTGCAGCATCCCTTTCCAAACATCAGACCACTTAAATGTCGTTCTAATTGTATTTCTAGAGTTATTAGAATACAATTATACTTGGTAACATTTCTACTTGGTATTGTTTCTCTTTCCCTGTGTTTCTAATTCTTTTCTAAAATATGTATTTTCTGAATTAATTTTGTGAAATCTTTCTGCATCTCTCCTTTTGTCTTTCTCAGATTGAGTAGGAATTCCGAATGATCACACTGAAGCCACTACAGTCAACATTCTTTGGGAAGCTGGACGAACACTCGGCTAAATTGTTGAGACTCTACAGTAGGAAGGGAGGAGCTGTTGGGAAGAAACTTGATGAGACTCTTGAAATCATGAATGAGGCATGTACTTTTAAATTTGTAGCAGTTATTTTAATGTTGTAGCATTCTGATATCTGTACTTATATGGTCACACCAGAATGTAATATTTGTCCTTAATTTCTTACCCTCATGTGGTTCCAAAACCGTAAGACTATTAAGATCCTTAAGTTAATCTTCGGAACACAAATTAACATATTTGATGATATGTAAGAGCTTTCTGACCCCCCTTTTGACTGCAACACCATTGTAACTTTCAAGGTCTAGAAAGATGTGAAAGTCATTGTTAAAATAGTCCATGTGACTCCAGCGTCTCAACGTTAATGCCATGAAGCAGCAATAATACTTTGTACACACAAAAAACCCACAAAAAGGAATAATCTTTTACATATCAGCTTCGCATTATGTTAACTTAATAAACACAGCTTTGCCTTTCCATGTTCTACTTCAAAATGCCAGCTCAGTATTGACCTCTGGTTGGCTACCTCCTGCGTCAGCTCCATATGCATGCATCATTGTGCTTAAGTGTCGGCCAGTAGTGAGCCGGCGTTGAAGCTTAACTCTCTGTTTACTACATAAACAGCGTAGGAGACTGACACAGAAGTTGTTAAGATAGTCGTTGTTTTTATGCGTTTTTTTTGCACAAATTCATCACATTAAGGTTGAGCCACTGTAGTCACATTAACTATGTCTTTAATTTCTTTTTGGGCCTTGAAAGTGGTCATGACGTTGCTGTATGTAAAGGAGTGAGACAGCTCTCAGATTTCATTAAAAAAAATCTTAATTTGTGTTCTGAAGATGAACGGATGAACAAACCTTTTTAGATGATCTCATATTTTATATTTTTGTAGGACAACAGCATCGAGTCCAGAAGAGAAACTGTGATCAGAGGACTAACGGGTAAAGAAATTATATTTCTGCATTTGTATTGATACTGAAAGATTTTCAAATGGATTTCTTGATTTATATAGAAAGTTTTACAGCACACTTATATATATGCATACATACTCATGAACATGACTATTGGTTGACTATGACCTATGATCTACACAAAAATTGGGTTAAATCCCAGCACAGCTAAAACTACTACAGCAACCCACGTATTCACACCCAAATATCAACAACACACAGCACATCCTACCAGTGCTGTTTGGGCACAAGTTGTACACAAGTATATGGATCAAAACTACCAAAGAAACCACGTAATGTCACCCAGATTTCTGTTCATAGCAAATATATAGTAGATTAAATTCTCTTTGATATATTTCACAGGTTTGTGGTGACGACGATTCTGCAGCCATACAAAAGCCATCACTACATTTGTCCTCAACATTTTTGTTGTCAGCAAAGCCAAAGATGGAGGTCTGGAGAAGCAAGCTGGAATTGCTATCGAGGGAGCAGAGGTCCTTTTTGGTATTTCCAGTGTAGCACATGCTTGCACCTACCTTATGGGCCTTATTTATGCCTTGGAACTTAGTTATCCGAAGAAACTGAAATACACATTTGAAGTATTTCAGAAGATCTTTCTGGAGCTGGAGGATGTTACCAAAAACATGTCCTCCAAAGTCCACGATCTAAAGATTAGCTTACTGGCCTGAAAGCGATATAAGCATTGTTGATGTCAGAGGGTTTGAGTTATATCCACTCTGAAAGTTTTGCAGTTAAATTTCTCCGGTTCTTCGAATTGACTTTCTAGTTGCACTCTTGCATTTTGTTATAGGGACAATGTTTGTGAGTTTGTTAATGAGCATTTGAAGGAAACAAAGCCTTCTGACAATATAGTTCCCAGTATGTAAACAGTTAGAAGATGCCTCTGTCTCATATGACCTTGTTGTTTGTACACACTGTGACTATACAAATCCCAACATATTTATAGGAAAATGTTGGTGTTATTTTTTCTCACTTATTGAGTACAGTATACTAACTGGAGCCATTTGCTCCTAGTCTTTGTGCTAAGCTAGGCTAGCAGTCAGTGCATCAGAGTTTCTTACACACAGAGATGAAAATAGTGTTTGTAGGAATTTCTTTAACTGTGAGGGATACGGTGAATAACCTAAATTCCCAAAAAGCACCTTGTTCCTTAAAGTATTCGAGTGTGTTACTGTACAGGATTGTATAAACAGAAGTGTGTAGAAAATATTATGTAAATGTTTGTGTAGTTATTGAAAAGTCCTTTTTGTAACCATAATTCTGACGACAATGAAGCCTGTCAAGTTTCACTTAATGAGCTTTCCTGTAGCACCACTAGCACAATTTTCTATTGTACAAAATCACTCAACATGTGTTGTGTATATACTGTATATTATTATACTCGCTAGTTTTTAATATCACTTGGCCAAACTTTCAGCTTTGTGTAATGTTATAACTACATTTCCATATTTGATGAGCACATTCTACGTGCATTCTGTTTGCCTGAAACTAGTAAATGGTGAAAAAAAATAAAATATATTTGCATGTTTACTTTCAATAGAAATATTCAGTTGCTAATTAGAAAATTTGAGTACATGTTACTTTAAAATACACTAACAAATGTTTTAAAACAAAGTAGATCCCACTTATTATTTGTAATATGGAAATGTAAAAATTAAGTTGGATTTAAACAAAAGTACACATTTGGAACTCTTAAAGTTATGTAGATCCCACACACACAAAAATGACTACAGCAATGCTTAAATTAAGTTAACTTTATGTGAAAATTTTATTTTGGCAAACAAGAAAAAATAAGTAATTTCTACAAAGACTAGTGTTGTTGGATCTACATAATAAAATGATGCAAAAAAATTCATTATATTTTTTAAGTAAATCAAGCAGATTATTTATATCAGTGTACTCAAGTACTGAGTAACTGATATTCTTACCGCCCATAATAATGAACTGATTTAATATTTTATAAAATTATGTAAAATTGATCCATTTTTAATACAAATTCTGGTGTTTTAAAGAATAAAATTAAAAGAAATATATAACATATTGTAATTACACAATAACATATTTAGTAGTAATAAGCATTCTTTAAAATTATTTTGTAATTATATAACTTTAAAAAAGCAATAGTGACAGTATGAAGAAAAGGTTAAAGTATACTGTTAACTATAGTTTCCCTCAATCTGAAAATTTCTGGATAGACTCCATCCATCCATCCATCCATCCATCCATCCATCCATCCATCCATCCATCCATCCATCCATCCATCCATCTTTTCCTGCTCCCAGGGTCCCTGTAGTCTATGGGCGAGAGGGTACACCCTGGACAGGTCGCCAGTCAGCTGCAGGGTAAGACAGACACGTACAACCATGCACACACAAAGGATAATTCAGAGATGGCATTTAACCTAAAAGTCATATTTTTAGACTGTGGGAGGAAGCCAGAAAACTGAATATGACCCATCCATGCAAACTTCATGCAGGCAAACCTTGGGCTGATAATCTAACCCGGAATCTTCTTGCTGCAAGACAACAGTGCTGCATTACTGTGTGGTTCCATGATTGACTCAGCAGCGGGCAAGCATTGAGTCAAGTATCTGGAGACATTGATCAGCATGATCAGTTTGGCAATGGGTCAGTAATACTGTGGGGAGACATTTCTTTAGAGCCGCGGTTCTCAAAGTGTGTGGCGCGACCCACTGGTGGGGAATTGAGACGTGACAGGTGGGGCGCGCCAAGTTCCGGTGTGTGTGTGTGTGTGTGTGACTATAAATGTAGAATGTGTGAGAGCAAACTGTCCTTATAGCTGTATGTTGCCGCTTTTTAGACCAATCAAACCCACAAAGTAATCATTAATAGCCTACATGCAGTCTAATTAAAAGAACATTAGATATGAGAAAAATTTCACCTGGAACTGAAGTGCCAAAATAATGATTGACGTGACGTCGGCATATTATTTGTAACGGAATAAACTTTCGCGCCCCAGTGTTGCCAACTCAGCGACTTTGTTGCTATATTTTAGACCCCTCCAGCGACTCTTTTTAAAAAAAGGGACTAGCGACAAATTAGCGCCTTTTGGAGACTCTTACGTGAAAGCACGTATCATTCCTTTTCTTGTCCTCCAGCGGCAGGTGCTGCCGTGGGGCGCCTCCCCCATCCCCACCCCGTTCTCCCCAGCTATCGCAGGAGTCCCTCTCAGCGCTGCAGAGACACAGCATGTTTACCCTCAGCGTCCAGACTGCAAATAAAGCGCACATGCGCCGGGATTGACGGCGCAGGTTGATCATAAATAACTGAATTTGAAATATTTTATCTTAAATAAATAGGACCAGTTTATTGAAATGACGTCTGACTCCACCCTGAAGCTCAGGTTTAATGCTCAGACTAATAGTGAATTCTGGTTTGGAGTGGAGAGGGAGTATCCACTCATCGGGCAGAGAGCTGTGTGCATTCTTCTTCCCTTTGCCACATCATATCTCTGTGAGATGGGCTTTTCAACTGTTGCTTCACTGAAAACAAAATACAGATCTCAGCTGAACATTGAGCATGACTTGAGAGTGGCAGTATCAAGCCTGCAACCCCGTTTTGAGAAACTGTGCAATGCAAAACAGGCTCATTGCAGCCACTGATGCAGGGATAAATAGACCTGTATTGCCAGATGGATTTCACTTCTTTTCTTTTATTAACAGATTGCAGAGTGGCACTTTAATTTTTTCTATCTTTGAGCTTGATACAAATTTTGACACAGCTGCATTTTCATTTTCTTTATTTTTGAGCTTGCTGTTATTTGATGTAGATAGTTTGTATTTAGATACTACTTGTTACTTCAATAAAATTGGAAAATTTTAAGATTGTTGCATATTTCATTAGCATTGTGTTGGGGCGATGGGGACAGGCGGGGCTTGAAAATTCCCCCTTGTCCAAAGTGGGGAATGACAGAAAAAGTTTGAGAACCACTGCTTTAGAGGGATGCAAAGCCCCCGATGTGCATGCCAGAGGTAGCATGAGTGCCATTAGGAACTGAGATGAGATCCTCAGACCCCTTGTGAGACCATATGCTGGTGTGGTTGACCCCGAGTTCCTTTCTAATGCAGAA